TTCCCAATAATTGTTCTGGGTTATTCTAATGTCCATCCCAAACAAAACAAGTTTTTCTAACAGTTCAAATAGATGTTGACTTTTTCAGATCAAAGTTCTTTTTGCGCTTAATGATTGGTACATTTTGTCGACTTGATCGAAACGAACCGTGGGCTCGTTTCGATTTTATTATTTATTTTTCTTTCACAATATGGTGGAAAAACGAAGAATGAATTCTGATCTTAAATTCTTCAAAAAAAAACGGTCAGAGCTTTAACTAGGCAAAGATTTTCTCTGGTCATAATGAGAGTGTGTAGTCACGACGAGGTCCATTGCCTTGAACGTCTATCGCAATGTTTCTCAACCTTTTTAAGCAACGTCACACCTAGAAGCAAATGAAAATACCACGGTACAATTAGCAAAATATTTAAATGTGATGTAATGAATATGCATACACCCGGGTTCCCCGTCACAGTAATATGATTGGCTGGTGTCATTCATAAATACAGACTGATTCGAAGGTACAAGGACGCCTATTGACTTCGCCTATTGCCTACCACTACGACGAGGACCAGTCCATTACGGCTACCTGCTAAATTGTCCTACCCGGTTACAGTAGTCCAAAAAATACTTTGCTACTTCGAACAAAGATATCCCTTTCCGGGACACATCAAAAGGGTATACATTTAAAAGTTATGAAATAAAACCGTAGATTTAAAAAAAAAATTCACACACAAATATGAATTTAATTTATTTTAATGCTTCTATTCAACCATTTGTGCAGCTTATTTAGTGTGAAACTTGTGCCTGGTGTTTTTTCACGGTTTCTTGAATGTTTCGTCGAATGTGCGATAATTAGAACATTAGTTCTTCTTTAGTTAATCGTGGTCTTTTCAGCTTCTTATTTTTGATGTTATTTAGGCCTGAGAAGTGTAATTCACATAAATAAGAAGTAGAAAATTGCAATAAAACTGATAAACCCATTTTATCTAATGTGGGATATTCCTTTTGTATCGAAATCCAAAATGTATCAATAGGTTCCGACGAATGTTTTATTTTGAGCCCTCAATCACTAGAAATGGCGACCAATTCTTCTTCTTCATTTAAGTGAAGTCCAATATTAGAAAGAATATGTACGAAGGCATTTCGGATCTAGTCATGCATTCGCGGCACATTTAAGGGGATCGCGCGATACACTAGTGTGCCACGGCACGTTGGTTAAGAATCACTATTCTATTGGGCAGAAGTAGTATGAAGAAATAGTATGAGCTATTTCTTCACTCAGGTGGAACCCGTATCTACGATCCAAAGATGCTGGGAGAATGTCGATTCCTTGTGCGGCTCCAGAAAGTTGCCGACTCCTCCTGCTATGCCTTTTTCTTTACAAAAGATCAAATCAGAGCAAAAATTGGACATTGCTGCCGTATAGTAGCGGATGCAGTCCAATCCTCACTTTCTACTCTTGAAAGAGTTCAAAAGTGTTTGCGATGCCTTGCGCGCGCAGTTATTTTCAATTCTACAGTCACTTTCCCAAAAGATGAAACGTCGCACGGCCTATCGCTACTCTATCGCCATGCAAATGTTCAGACGCGCTTCATTCCCTACTTTCACCAGCTCAGAATTTACAGCTAGGAAACACCATGCCACATGCACAGCGTCAAATAATTCCCATTCTCTTCGTATTCCATTAGTAAGGAGGAAGTCAAGCTCTGACAGCTTTTTTTCGGGAACTGCTATATTGTGGAACAGATGTCCGAGAGGATGCTTTCCCGATCGCTAAAATCTCCTCAGATTTAGAGTCAACTGTTATCTATCCTACATTTTGTCATAATGTGCACTTATTCCTTTAACGTTCACGCAGCAACTTCATTCAGCGACCCTCTATCTTGAGTGGAATTCGGGCCTTGCTTTCAATGAATATTTAGTTAAAGAAAAAAAAAGAAAAATATCGTCTATATGTTCTAAAAGCATATCAGCTTCCCAGACCCCACTACGTTTCTCCAACGAACTTTAAAAAAATAAACGGATATATATATATATATATATATATATATATATATATATATATATATATATATATATATATATAATCAGTTTGTCTCAAGCAATGCAAAATGCCAGGGGCTACTGGGAGTGAAAGAGAATGAAAAGATTTAGAAGGAACCAGGAACCAGATCCTAAACAGAAAACAAGGAATAAACCTCTACTCCTGTCCAAAAGACCAGGAGTGTGAACTGGATGATAGACAAACCTATCTACTCCTATTGCGGAGGAAAATAAATAAATAATTAGTAAATAAAATTTCAGATAGAGACATTAGAAGTATAGAGCGAAGTAGACTTCAAAAGAAACCGGAAACCTAACTCTAAACAAACAACAAGAGATAAACCTCTACTCCTGTTCAAAAGACCAGGAAGAAGTGCGAGGCGAGCGATGAGCGAACCTATCTACTCCTACTTTTGGTGGGATTATAAAAGTAAGTTCTTCATTTAAACAAGACCGAATACAGAATTTAAAAAGTTGCCTTAAACTGTTTTCAAGCTGATTCTTGTGTCTACCCTTTTCTTGTTTGTTTACGAAAATGTTTTTTTTTTATTTGAGGATAATTGGCATCAGGTCCCTTGCTTTGCAAAGGAGTTCGAAGAAAGAAATTAAGAGACCACCGTCCTGGGTATGTCAATAAACTACATACGACAGCGAGGCCTTTGATCAGAAGCTTTTGAGGAGTGTGCGACCACCTCTTAATTGCTGGTGTTCCCAGGTCTACCGTGACCCGGAGTGGTAGCACTTGTCAGGGTCCCAGCTATGGGCAAATAGTTAACTCCACCAAAAGGGGTCAAAGCACTATGAAAGTATAAAAATAGGTTTTAATACCAGCAATACTTTTCTGGAAAAATTTTTAACCCTGCAATACATTTTTGGAAAAAAAAATATATTACCAGCCATAAATTTTGAAAAAAAAATATTAACAGCAATACATTTTTGGGAAAAAAAATATATTACCAGCAATAAATTTTGAAAAAAATATATTAACAGCAATATATTTTGTGGAAAAAATATATATTACCAGTAATAAATTTTTAGGAAAAAAAATATTACCAACAATATATATTTGAAAAAAAAAATATTACCAGCAATAAAAATCAATGGGTTATCATTAACCAACCCAGTGACGTTGATATGCCGTAAAACAAAATGAACAATTTAGAGACCAGCATGTCCTTATTGTCACAGATATTTCGTTAGTAATTCGTAAACTGGAGACGAATTCAATGCTATTTAACTACCTAATCTATGTGGATGGTTCCTCTTAAATATGTGACCTACCTTAAAGAAAATTATCTACATGCACAACTTTATTTAAGTAGCATCTAAATGGCATACAGTGAATGAAGGCTTCCGAAGGATTTTGTATATAAACCAAATCTATTTTTTAAAATTATTATTCTCATCCCTTATTGCGACAAGTCAATATAATGGCTGGCCACTCGTATCCGAAGATGCCCATCGACTAGAGATGCTAGCCAATCCCTGTTGCAGACGCCTGCTCAGGCACGCTTATGTTTGTTCAACACCTACAGAGCCCACACGTGGTTTATACTGCAACTATGCTGAGCGGACCTTAGTTACAGTTTCTGGGAGAGAGCGTGTTATCTAGTGTGATCAACAGTCTGAGCAAGGCCAGGACGATCAAACGAACTGGCACAACCATCGAATATGTTAGAAGACAAATCGTAATATTAACCGTTTCCTTATTTACATTATTCGGACTATTGTCCTCATCTTTGTCGCCATATTTATCACAACGTTTCGGCCTTCTTCAGGTGACTGGAATGTCGAACTGAACCCTTTATTTCGCTCACTGGAGTAAACTGTTCTTGTGCCATGTTTAATGGATGTCAGTTATCAGTTCTCCACTGCTTTAACTGGGTATTGAACTCACACACTTTGGCTCCTGTCACTGGATCTAACCAGCGCCGTTATCCACTGTGCCATGTGTCCATGATAACAATAGTCCGAATAATGTAAATAGTGTACATAATACCTCATCTCGGAAATATAGACAGATAACCGTTTCCTTATAAGGAAATATTCAGCATTCATTGACTGAGCATTACTGTCGGTTGAAATTTATAAAATCTTTCTGTCAAAACGGGAAAATAGATTTCCCAAGTTCACTGTCATCGCTCTTTCCAAGATTGATTCCCGCCTCCTTCGTAATCGTGTGAAGCGTCAACATATTGATTATGTCAGCGTATTATATCTACTATATATTTTAGTTTATTCTATTGTTGAAAGTCCTCAAAATGATAATGTCTTTGTTACTTGGTACAGTCCATTGTGATTCTGCAGCGCCAGCCCAAGAGGCTCAAAGAAGGATAGTCCTCTCTAAAACCTACAGGGTTCATTCGCCTGACGCAATTTTTAATCATTGATCAAAGAAATCGGTTGTCTACATTTGTCAGTATAGATATTTCCAAACGCCATATATGACATCATTATGAAAATTCTCGAACTGACGAGACTATAAATTCGTTCTTGAAAAGTTGAAAACTTTGCACCAAATAAACTATTAAAAAGTAAAAATAAGATAAAAATTAATTATTGAAATTAAGTATATGTATAAACGACTGTTATTCGTTATCTAAACATAATTACCTCCCTTATCGTCATACTGGGCCACCACTACCACCATTGGCTTGTTGCAAATTAAACTTCCTTATCGACGCTGGATTTCTTTTTATAACAGCTTACCGCACTCATTAACACTCTATAAAATTCAAAATAGAGTTTCTTTTTTTCCCCGACATGCGCACTTCTTTGTAGAGGGGGTGGAGATTTTTGTGACTTATTTTCTTTTCTCTTTTTGATAATTGTGTGGAAAATTTCGTTTCTTAAATCTTATAGAAAAATTAGGAAAGATAAAACAGGTATTCGATAGAAAATAAAATTTTGTTTTATGTGTCGTGTCCTTTCAGAAGGAATCATGGCTCTCCACAACATCGCTATTTCTTTCCTTACAGCAATATCACGTTGAGACGCCAGTGTCCATACGATCACCGAAGTTAAGCAACATCGAGCCTGGTCAGTACCTAGATGGGTGACCGCTAAGGAATACCAACTGCTGTAAGCCTGGATGTACGGGTGGGGTAATGGATAATGGCCGAGTTCCGATTCCAGTTCGGTTTCCTTATGCGGATATAACAAACCCAACGGGAATTGGAACTTACGCGCAAATATCCTTGGAAATTCACCTCTTCTCCTGTTAGCTATGGGTTAATTAGTAAAACTAACTTGTATCACTATTATATTCCAATAAATAAATTCTTACAATCTAAAAATATTGTCTGGCTTTAAATAACCTGCAAAGTGTTGATAAGAAGTAAAAAGCGAATCAATCAAACACTATTTCCTCCCGCATTGTCATCCATTCAGACAAACGCATTAGCTTGGTTTCTCATTGTTTCCCTCTGCCTTTTCTATTTTCGATCTGTCTTTTGAGTGTCAAATGTTCCCTATAGAGACACACCTCGAGCAATCTTCAAACTATACTTGAAGAGTAAAACAGACACTAACAATGTTTTGATTTCACGCATGCGCGTTGTTGGATTTTGATTTTGTAGATTGCAAAGTATAGTAGGGTCAGTTGGGCACCGTCTATGAGAAAAATAGCACACTGACGCAATTCACTCCACCAGAAATTTGGAAACGGTATGCTGTACTGCTTGAGATTCGCACCGGAAGCTCCAATACGAACATTTCAGGGTGTTTTGATGTCAATCTGTGGACAGTGCAGAGAATTCGGAAAGAATTGGATGAGTCTAATGGTGATTACGAAGATACAGTAGCTCGGAAAATTCACTCCGTTCTGATAAAAAAGAACTCCCGAATTTGTTGGTGAAGGCCACAGACTCAATATGGAGGACTACATCAAGTGCCTTGAGGAGGTAGTACTGCCCTGGGTCAAAAGGGTGGATACTGAAAGACCCTATGCCTGGCAACAATTTTTTTTTTTGCATCATTCAACACAAGCAGGAGAATACAATTATAGCTGTCAGACAATTTCTGCAACCACATCAACGCTTATATCTGGCCACCTAACTCCCTAGACTGCAACTCCTTGATTATTATGCGTGGGGCGCAGTTGAGAGAATGACCAACAAATCTCGTTGTAACGCCAAAGATGAACCAAAGGCAATGATTATGGCAGCAGTCACCAACTTAAACAAGGAGACCGTCCAGAAGAGTTACAGAAGATTCTGAAGTCGTCTGAAGGCCGTGATTGAAGCCAATGGCGATTTTATTGAATAAATTCACTCTTTAGTATTTCAAGGTATTTTTTGTGCAATTTTAGTTAAAATGAGATGTTGGTGTTATTTCCGTTTTTGCGTAGTTTAGACGACAATTTATCCATCGCACCATACATACATACATATATATATATATATATATACACCATGTACTACTGATTTGTACGATATTTCCCCACTACCTATATATATATAGGTACCTCCAAAAAAGCGATAACTCAGATTTAAAACCCATTTTATAAATGAAAAATCTTTCTTGAAGTTTTTATTTTATTTTTAATTACAAGCTGATAGGTTAAATTTAATATTTCCAATATTCCAAACCGAATTTAAATTAATTGGAATGATTCTTTCTGATTATCTGTAAAATTAATAAAATCGTCAATATTGACAAATCTGTCAACAAAAACGTTTATACACATAAACCACGTAGTCGCAGGTAAGAAGTGTAGATCAATGGCGTAGTCCAATGGGCGTCGTTATAGACTTAGCTCTCAGACTAAGGCTCTTGACTGTCGTACCTACAAGTCCGTCGGTATTTATGACGAACACCAGCCAATCATATTCCAGTGAGGAGGAACACAGGTGTACGCATATTCCATTATATCAAGAGCAAAGAAAAGGGTACTGAACTGTTATATAATAGCAGTTTTCCTATATGGGAGCAAATGTTGGACAATCTCTTCACAACAGATGGACAAGAGACTTGAGGCAACGGAAATGTGGTTCTGCAGAAGGAGGCTGAGAATACCGTGAACTGAACATGTGAGTGACGACGATGTTTTAAAGGAAACGGCCATAAAAAAAAGTTTATAATTACAATCAGAAGTGACAGATGAGAAAAGAGGGTTTGGAGAATTTGACAATCCCAGGACATAGCCAGTAATACGGACGGTAAGAAGGGCATTTGGAATCAGCAAATAACCTACCGAATGAACTTGTGTAACTCGATGGCAGAACATGGCCTTCTTATCAATTCACCCCAAACAAGGCGACAATATCACTAATACGCATGAAGCTACTGTAAGTGAAAGAGAAGAAAAAGACAAGAAGGAACCAGAAGCCCAAGGAGGAGTGTGAACCAGATGACAGGCGAACCTATCTACTCTGATTGAGAAAAAAAGTAAATAGTAAATTAAATGTCAGAGTTTGAATGTAGACGTTAGAAGTTGAACCGAAAGCCAAATCCTAAACAGAAAAAGAGAGATAAACCTCTACTCCCAGTAAAAAAAAAAACGAGGAGGAATGTGAACCGGGCGATAGGTGAATCTACCTACGAGGGATGTTTAAACGACAAACCTTATTAAGAGTTGTAAGGAATAGGAAGTTGTGGAAAACTGTCCCTCCTATGTCCTGAAGGTTCACGGCTCTGAAAAGAAGAAAATGTACGTGTAGTACATACTTCAACAAGCACAATGACCAAGGTACTTTGTTTTTGTTTTTTATTCTCATTTAAAGATTACTGTAATTATTAGCAACACTTATATTTTATTATTGTAATGATTTACTAATGATCTATCAAGTTTATCGCGCTTCTGTTTGTTTTATGAATTATCGTTCTAATTCCAGACTTTCCAATAAAACGACATGATTGACGCATGCGCGATGAAAATAGAAAAAGTCGAACCGGGGCAACCGGAAAATAAGCCAGTGGTTGGTTTGACAGATGGGAGTTATTTTCGTATCAATCTTTCGCGCACAAAGAGAATAAGTAACTGATATAACATTTAAGGTCTCTCTTGGAAAAAGAGCCACAAAAAAAATGGCGACGTACCTTCGAATGAGGAACGGTGAACCATGACCGCCATTAAAAAAGATATGACTAAAATCACCTCAATTTAGGGAGTTATACTTACTTACCTACTTACTATATAGACAAGAATAAATATACTCAGATTTACTTCATTTTGGTTTTTCTCTCTTTTCTTTTTTATTTTCCTCCTTTCTTTCTTTTTTCCGATTTAAATGTATATAATAGACATATATTTTTAATCGTTTGAATTGAGTTTCTTCCAAACTTTAGGCAAACGTAAACAAACTTATTCTTTGTATCAACTAAGTTTTTTGAGTAGGGGAGTTTCAATTCATTTCACTCCATGCAAGGCAGTAAAGCCCCTAAGACACAAAAGGTTACTGCGTGTGAAAGAATTAACAAACAGAAACCTGAGCCTGAACAACAAAAGAGTGATCAGGAAGACAGTGGATAACGATTGACATTGCATTTAATTTTTTGAAGATCGAAGTTCGCTGGAAAGCATAGAGCCGGAAGAGTATTCCACAAGCGAGAAGTACGAGAAAAGAAACTGTTAGTATAGAACTTGCGGTTACATCTAGCCAACTCAACTGTCAATTAAGAGCTTGTTGCTAATTTGGTACTGCACTTAATTTATAAAATCTAGGTATCATAGTGAAAAGCTCGTCCGAACAATTGCCATGAAAATATGCTCCCTGATTTTTTTTTTTATTTGCATGCGGACTATTGTCCTTATCTTTGTTTTTGTTATCACAACGTGTCGGCCGTTGTACTCTCCGGCTTTCATCAGATGAATGTCGATGCGGTTAACTGACAGGGAATTCTGAACTGAAATGTTTATTTAATATACTGAGGTAGACTAATCTCGTTCGACTGCCTATGTCTAGGGATATCTAGGGATAGTTCTTATTTTCACATACACTTGATGAAGGCCGGAGTGCACAACGGCCGAAAAGTTTTGAATTACAACAAAGATGAGGACAATAGTCTGCATGAAAATCGTGTAAGTCATGATAACTCGTCGTCCGTGAAATTCATAGTGACGTTCTTTTTAGTTCCTCGCATTTCTGTTCCCGCCCCCTTACTTATGACCATATCACGACGAAACACCGGTTCTCGTACGATCACCGAAGTTAAGCAACGTAGAACTTGGTCAGTAACTAGATGGGTTACCACTTGCAAATGCCAGGTTCTGTAAGCTTGGGTGTGTAGGTGGTGCAATAAATGACTGCTCGGAATTGGAAATCGGAGAACTGAGTTCTGATTCCAGACGGGCTCCTTATATTCTATTACGCGCAAATATTACGTTTGGGAATGGTATTAATCCACGTCTTCCTCCCCACCAACCAGATATGGGTTAATAAGTACAAGTTTTATCAGCAAAAATCATCATTTTCTCTAAAACATCTTGCAATCTAAAAATATTTTCTGTCTTTAAATATCTTGAAAAGGGTGGATAAGCCGTAAAAAATAACCAATATGTTTTCATCTTAATCGTTTAACTGCACGTTACATGACAAAAACTAAAGTTTTCTGGTGATGTGGGAATTCTTCGTTACTACTCGACTATAAAAGAAATGGTCAAACCTCAAATATGGACAGGAGATAAATTTCTTTGAATAAAGCTTCACTACGGGATTAAACGTTCGTCTGTTTTTCTTTACTCCTAAAATAAAAAAAAGGCTTAATGTCAATGAAAAAGATAATATCATCTACTAGAATCTTTTTGCAACACGCTAAAGCCTGTTGAAATCCTCACAGTATTTAGTATCGTTTAAGTTATGGCTAACATTTTTTGTTGAGATTTACAAACTCTACTTACTCTCCATACTATGCTACTATAGTTTGCCAGAATTAAATATACAGTGTAACCCGGATATAAGAGAGATTTTCTCTGGTCCCAAATTAGAGCCTGTGTTAATGTATATAAAATAGACCAAACACGGATATAAGAGAAACCCGGATAGAGAGATTTTCTCTGGTCCAAAAATTAGAGCCTATGTTAATGTACCAAAAAATAGACCAAACACGGATATAAGAGATTTTTCTCTGGTCCCAAATTAGAGCCTGTGTTAATGTATATAAAATAGACCAAACACGGATATAAGAGAAACCCGGATAAGAGAGATTTTTTCTCTGGTCCCAAATTAGAGCCTGTGTTAATGTATATAAAATAGACCAAACACGGATATAAGAGAAACCCGGATATAAGAGAGATTTTCTCCGGTCCCAAATTAGAGCCTGTGTTAATGTATATAAAATAGACCAAACACGGATATAAGAGAAACCCGGATATAAGAGAGATTTTCTCTGGTCCCAAATTAGAGCCTGTGTTAATGTATATAAAATAGACCAAACCCGGATATAAGAGAAACCCGGATAAAAGAGAGATTTTCTCTGGTCCCCCTGTGTTAAAATTAGAGAAACCCGGATATGAGTTAATGTCTGGTCCCAAATTAGACCAAACCGGATATAAAAAGACCAAACCCGGATATAAGAGAAAGATTTTCTCTGGTCCCAAATTAGAGCCTGTGTTAATGTATATAAAATAGACCAAACCCGGATATAAGAGAAACCCGGATATAAGAGAAACCCGGATATAAGAGAGATTTTCTCTGGTCCCAAATTAGAGCCTGTGTTAATGTATATAAAATAGACCAAACCCGGATATAAGAGAAACCCGGATATAAGAGAGATTTTCTCTGGTCCCAAATTAGAGCCTGCGTTAATGTATATAAAATAGACCAAATAATATATATAAGAGAAACCCGGATATAAGAGACTTCTTCTCCGGTCCCGACAACTCTCTTACATCCGGGTTACACTGTATACCAAAACTGAAAGAAAAAATAAGCAACAAACAATATTGCATTTTTATTAAATAAGTATTTGTTATTTTAATCATTATTTTTTTAAATATAGTTTCACTGTCGAAACTGTTAAATGTAGCCGTCTCTTCTACTTCAATAGCTTTATGTCTCACACTTCTCGCCTGTGGAACTTCCTCCCCTTTTCCTGTTTCCCTGATAGCTATAATCTCCAACTATTCAAATGTAATGTCAATCGACGTCTCCAAATGCCCTGATCTATCCCCTATCCTTCTCTTCATCCTTTCCTCTATCACTCCTATTTGCTTTCGCTCCAACTCTCTGCAACCCCTTGCGTGATAGTGGCTTCCCGCCTTCCTTGGGGTGAAATGCTTAAAAAAAATAGTTGGAATATTTTGTATCTTAAATAATAAAACTTTTAATTTTTCCCCCAAAAAATGAATGAAAATGTATTGTACTAAGCTACGCACCCTAGTAAAACCAACCATACTCTGTAACCCACAACTGTTTGCATTTCTCCCCCAAAATTTGTTCTCGATCAGTCAATGTATGGCTATTTTAGAGGGTGTAACGGACGGACTATCGGAAGTCACAGAATTTTATATATAGATTTCTTTTCCAGTACTTTCCATCATTTTGCTACTATTTAACTTAATGACACTACCATATTTTATTGTTTGAAGGACATATACTAACAACTTTTGTAAATATATTTTATTTTATAAATTAATTTGGAAAATTTTAAAAGCTTTTTCACCCACCCTTACATAAAAAAATAAGTATGGGATTGGTAAAAATCTTCATCGTGAGAACACATTCTGTTGGTGATTTTTAATACGCAAGTTAAAATTTAGTATATGATTGGCAGAAAAGAATTGGTTGAGTCAATTAATGTGACTGTTACCGATAGTATAGTGAAATTTTAATATCGTTTCAAATTTTTCTGTTACTTTTTTTCCAATGGAAATAAATATCGACTCAACTGGGGACCTCTCGGCTGTAGTCGAACGTTACTACAGAACGGCTTTAAATTCTTGACAAAAAAAATGGCGAGCGTGAAAAAAAAATTATAGCGATTTTGTCTATTTTTTTTTTTTTTTTTTCGAATTCTCGATAGGCACTTGAGCCATCAAACATTGTCCGGAATTAAAATTGTTTTCTTTGGAGATTTTTCATTGATATTGAAATTTGTCAACAGGTGAGTGGCTGTTTGTCTGTTTGTTTGTCTTTCAGCAAATGATATTCACTTGATTGTCAAGAAAATTACGAATCTTTCAGTATTCTTTAATTTGAAAATAATTTTTTGTGTTGTGAAGATGAAAAAAAATTAAATTTTCTTTTTCGGGTAATCCTGATTAACTGATGATTTTATTTTTTCTTGTGAAAAGAAATTGGTCAAGTACGAAGCAGGGAGCCATGAAATAAAAAGTAATGGGTTAAATCGGAATTTAAAAATCGATGGAGGACTAAATCAGACATTAAATTTTTAAAGATTCCTCATTCTATATTTGTTTATTTGATCCTCTCATAAAGGAATATGTATTTTTTTTTTTACACCTGTTGTAAACATTTGGGGGGGGGGTGATTTTTAAAGTGCTTTTCTTTTTTCTTGCTTGTACGTATTTTTTTGGAATCAGACCTATAAACTTTTTCTACATGTGAGACTTCTATAGAATTTCCAAAGCTAACGTTTTGAAAAAAATCCGGAAAATTAAATTTTCTAATTTATTTTAAAAATTAATGATAATGGCAGACTTTAGACAAATGATACAGCTTAGCTTAGGTACCTCCACGAAATCGCTAAAAAAAGAGCATAGCTTGATGAAAAAGACGCCAACCTTGCCGAAAACAAAATTTTATTGTCTAAATGCTTATGTTATTATTTAGAGGAAAGACCAAAGTTTTTTTTAATTATTTTTAAAAAATTTTCCTTCTTTTTAGAAAATTCTAAATTTTGATTAAAAAACCTTGTTTCTATTTGTATCAGCGGAACTAGTAAATAACATAGACAATTTTTAGCACGTTTTTTTGGTATGACACACATTAATTTGAAAAATCGTGCAAAAATAGAAATAATTATCGGATGTTAATGAAACTTTCAGGAACTATTCACAGATGATCGAAATTATTATAAATATGTTTTTTTTATGAAAGTCATGGTAGAAATATTTTTTAAAATATTTATTACCCCCCCATAACTAATTTTATGAAAACGCTAGAAATTCGATCGCATCGGTTTTAGTGATTACAATAATTAAAAGCACAGGGCTTTGAGGAATGCAAATCATGTTTTTTTTTGTTTTTAATTGGATACCCAGTACCTGAAAATCAGCTCTGAATTGTAACATACAAAACTCAATAAAACAAATATATTATTTAATTTCAAATGCTTTTATTTGCTTTTAGTTGTTTTTATGAATATGGACAATATTTTCTGAAAGCATAAAAATTTTTTCGATGAAAAATGAATTTTTAATACAATTATTTGTTATTTCATTAATTATAATACATTTTACATTTAAGTTGTTAAAATATTATAAAATTAGTTAAAAGCCGCACAGGCTTTCATAAGTGTCCTTATGAGATAAATCTTTTTTTAGTGCGTTGTAAATTGTATCATTTTGACTAATCAGAAGATCCCCAGTAATTAAGAAATTTAATTTTGTGCTTATAATCGAGCTGTAATTATAAAATACGGAAGACCAAGCAGAATATAATTAAGTTGGGTTATTTGAGTTAAGCATTGTTCTCCGCTGTTAAGGCCTTTACTTTTGCGAAACACGTGTGGAGAAGTTAATTTGATTTTTCAATTTCAACTGAGAAGGTTACCTACAAGTATCAGTATCATCTTATGAAATTTATATGATCTTATTTTTATATTAATCTCAGTTACGACATTTTTCCATAAATGAAATATCAAAATTAATAATAAAATGAATGCAAATACAAATAACAGTAGAATGTAATAAATGTACATAAAATTATAGTATTTTATGTACAATTCTGATAAAATTTCATAAGAAAGGTACCTATAAATTAATTAGATACCTTTCTTAAGAAATATGAAATTTAATGTCACTCTTAAGTTTTATTTTAATTTCTTTACAATATATTTCCCATAAAGCATCATAAACGTAAAGGTGAAAGCTAAGTACAAAAAAAAAAAAATTAGACCGCTGAAAGTTTTCGTTAAAAATAACGGGGTAAATAATTTGTTCACGTAAATGTAAATTATTTCACTTTTCTCCTTCCGTAGAACAAATTAGCCTCATGGAATTCGTAAATATATCATTCATCACATGTCAAGAGACGCGAAAGTTTATGACCTGCTTTGTTTTATTTTCAAATTACATCTTTTTGGCACAAAAGCT